GATTTATTTCGAGTTTTTGTTTTTTCAATATTGAGTTTTAGCGAATAATTTTGGAGTCCGATTCTTTTCAAAACTTTAGACCAGCTCTGTTTAAAAAATGGATAAGTAAATTTTTGATATGCTACTCTGGTTTCTTTAAACTGATGTTTCTTAAGTCTTTACTTTCTCCTCGTAATTATTGAACAGTTCTAAATTATTTATTTTTTCTTATGTGTTTATATTTAGTATCTTTCGTTTATCTTTTCAGAGCATCAAGAAAGAAACAAGAAAGTGAATAAGAAAACACAAACAACCTTGTACTTGGATTAACTTCTTAAATGTAAGATGCTGTATTAGTTTTACATATATTTAGTTTTTTTTTATAAAAATAAGACATTAATCTCTAGCGTTTATAATTCTAAGAATACCTTACCTGAATTAAATTAAAAATTATAATTTCTGTAAAACTGTTCTGATAAATTTAAAGCCATCTCAATTTGTGGTTTATTTTTAATTTACTGATCAAAATAAGTTTAAACTTATAGGGTTCATCTAAGAATTTAGTACTATTAGTCATGTAGTTACATGGTCTTTGTAAGCTCGATACCTCTCTCTAATTATCAAGTATCTATTTATAAAACAACTGGTCATTAGGATCATCTTTAGTTATAATAAGAATAGGTATAACAATATTTTGTTATTTGAACACGTAAGACGGCAATCGTCTAATACGACCTGATTGTTTTACCACTCTTTCCAAAATTCGGCCTACCAACATACTAACGTTTCGAACTAAACCAGCAATCTTCTATAATCTCTTTCTAAATATGTAAGAAACTTTTGCTAGGACATTTATCAAAATGGCAATAAATGTGGAGAACCATATAATTCATTAACTTTCTCTTGTCAAACACTTTGATAGCACAAATGTCTTGATAAATTAATTATGTGCAGTAATAAAAATTATTTTTTCTATCGTTTGAAGTTCTTAATGAATGAACATAAAATCAATTAAGTTCAATAACATTTTTATATGATAAAATAACTAGTTTCTGATAAATATTTTATTTTATAACCGTCGTTGAACAGCCGACCCAATTTCATGGGTTTACGACTACTTACGTTCAACTCCGTAGCCTTGTAATTTTGAACCAATCCAGAAGACAAGGAAACTCCTGGATCAGTACCCCCAGAGGTATTGATTTGTTGTGGGAACATGGAGGACTTTGAGACTCGACAGATTTAACGTGCATCAGTCACCATTTACTACACGGGGAGTCTTCGGCCGGCGNCATTTCTCTTTAATGTAAGCAATCTGTTTTCGCAGAAACTGAAATGTATATTTTGTAAAAATATCAATGTGTTTTGATATGAAACAATGTAATTGCTATAGACGCAATTAAAAGAATGTTTTGAAATGTGGTTGTATTAATTAATAAAATACCTATTACTTGAAAGAAGTTTTAAATACTAAGCACACTTTACACTTTAAAAAACAAAGGAAAGTAATTTACTTGTAAGCACTTGCAAATGGGTTGGATGCGAAACTCTTGTATGGTCGTTTTCAGCATCCAGTATAAATGTATACTTTTGGGGGTGAAAACTGAAATTTACTTAAAATCTAATTTTATCTTATACAAATTTAGTTTAAATGACGAAATCAATAATTCCTCATAATTTACTAAATCTACGTTAGCTTTTGTAGAATAATTTTGAATTTTTTAACAATACAAACTTTAAATGTGCTGCATTAGTTTCTGAATATATTATTCTTTTGTGACGAGACTTAGAGATAAATGGCGGTTCCAGAAATCTAGAGGACTTCCTGACCTCCTTTAATTTAAATTTGAAATTTCAAACTTCTTTCGGTTTTACCTTGAGTAGAATTTTAATATGGTTCAGTAAAAGCCATATCTTGACTTTGTAGACGACATTCAGTCCATATTAATGAAAGAGTTGAAGCTAAGGGCATGCAGAAAACTTCGCATTTGGGATTAGGTTTAGTCAGAATGTCGGAAAATTTACAAAATTATCTGTTCTTAAAGTGTAATCATTACATGTTCTTAATCCTAAATTTTTAACAATTTTTTAAACTGAACTCAGATTTTTTTTTCTTATCCTCATTACTGAAATTAGTAATGTCAATGGCATAGCTGAATAGAATCTTTTGGAGTCTGCTGAGGTTCTTGCTTATCAAGTAAATGTCTGTAAAACTCTTAGAAATGAGTAATTGCTTAATATCTTAATAAATCTTAATAGTATCTTAATAGTATCTTAATAGTAATTGCTTAATATCTAGATAATTGTACTTAAACTAGTGTTAATCTATCATTCGATTAATACGAATTGAAAAAGAAAATTCCTTTTATTTCAAAGAAATTATCAAAACTTAAAGAAGTAAATTATTTCAATAAAAAAAAATATGGTAGAAATTATGTGTGTTCTCCGCCAACAGCCATGTTGCAGACATGTGTTGACACTCTCCGTTACTATCTTTAACAAAATAAAAAATATAGAGCGTAATAGAATGCAGGAAAAACTTAAAAAGCAGATTATGGCATTGACCTGAATTTCTCCAAGTGAGCCGTGGTGGCTCAGGAGATAGAGCGTTCGCCTTCTAATGAGGAAACCCGGGTTCGAATCTCAGCAATGGCTTGTTGATACAAATTCCACGTCCGGCTCACACTGACCATAGTGCAGGCGTGAAATATACTCAGTGGTAGACGGATCATGGGTCAGTTCCCTTGTCTCCAGACTTTCAGTGGGAGGTTCTCGTGGTCTTCCTCTCCATATAACGCAAAAGTGGGTTAGTTCCATCAAAAAGTCCTCCACCACGAAGGATAAATGTTTCTCCCAATACTTGATCCAGGAGTTCTCTTGTCCTCTAGATTGGGCTCAAAATTGCAAGGCTACAGAGTTGAACATTAGTAGCCGTATACCTATAAAGTGGGTCGGCTGTTCAACGACGGTTATAAAATAAAATTTTTGCTTGTTATACCGGAACATTCGACGACGATTAAAACCAACCTCTAAAGATAACGAGTGTATAACAGCGCTACCACCTTGGGATAACTCATTTTGCTAGTTATGATGGTGCTGTGAGTGAGGTAATGAGAGCGTAGCGAGAATTTATGTAATCCAAAAAATTGGCAGGAGTCAGTAACAGAAGTCAGGACTCGCTTTTGTAGGTCAGAGTCCGATGAATTTTAAGCCCGAGCTCGAATGCAATGCGCATCGAGCTAGAGCTACACAGAACAGTACCAGAGTCCATTAGAGCCTGAGATATACGTCGGATAAAGATCTATCAAGGAAATTATTTACTTAATACCTTTTATCGTAATTAAATTTTTACACTTATAGACTGAACGCAACGTGTGTTTAAAAGTAATAAAAAAAGTTAATGAACATTTTATCTGGAGTCAGAGCCAACCCAAGCCCGAAACCTACATACTCAGTAAACTAGCATGAGCCCGTCTCGGTCAGTATTTTGTTAGGCGACAGTTCAGTTATCTTGAGTTAAATCTGTCATGACTCTATCATTTCCCAACCGATGGATTTTGTTTTGCTCTTTATGAGTTTTAGAGTTTTATGAGTTTTAGATTTCAATATAATTTAAAATTTGCTTTAAATATTAAACTGAATTTAAATTTCAGCTCATTAAGGAACAGTTTATGACATAAAAATTTTTCTATTTCTTTTTGTACTAAAAACCACAGTAGGCAAAGTAATGCATTTTTAAATAAAATAATGAGTTAAGAACTAAATTTAAATTAAGTTAATATTTTTTCAAGTAGTTTCTTCCTCCTTTTTGTATTTGGTTTTGTCCTAGCATTTAAACATTAATGATCATTTCTATGCTCAAATTGAGCTATATTGTTACAGATGTTTGATATCCAATACTATGGTGGCACTTTAATTTGCATAAAGAAAAAACATTCAACACACGGAATGAGATATTATGTGTATTATTTAGCTTTTATCTTAAGTGTAAAATGAAAGATACAATTGAAGCTTATGTTATTTCAAAAATATTTGGTCTACTACTTCAAAAATAATTTTCATTTAATGTTTTCGTTGCTATAGAGACCATTGGCTTAAAATTTTCACCAAAAACGTTAAACATTCCAGCAACATCCCGTTGCGGGTTATAGAGTGTCAAAGAGGTTGAAACTTCATAATTTTGAGACAAACACCAAAATGGTAGCAATGCGTGTCCAGCACTGCACAACGATCGCCTTTACTTCACAGCCAAACTCTTACCCATCGTTTTGAAGCTGGGTAGACTTTAAAACACTGCCAAAGATCAAACCCAGACTTTCATCATGACAACTTAGTGCTTTAACCACTCTACTAACGATTTTCAAACTATTTACTAAAGTTAATAAAAAAAAAATGTCTCAAAACCACTAAATAAGTAAATGAATAAGAGAGTCAATTCGTTTAGCAACACTGAATTAAAATAACGATGGATAAAATAAATTAATATATATAATTATTTAAGATCAGTATAGTGTAATGGGGAAGTGGAACCCATATTTTGCCGTAAGTATGGGTAAACTCCTTGAGAAGGCTTAAATTTAAAGAGTCAATTTCCCCAAAAATGAATTTGTTATTAAGAAAATATTAATATCCTCCTGTTGATTAACGTTTTACTTAAAGGAAAGTTAAAATAATTTCTTCTACGTCAATTGTATCCTTTGAATAAATAAAAATGTATGAAAGAAATCAGTTTTTTTAAACTTAAATCGGAAATTGATCTAATATTATTTTTTCTTGCATTTAATTTAGAGTAACCAACTTTTAAAAATACTTAACAACAATACTTAACATAGAAACTTTGACAACAATGAACTAATACAGAGTTATAAAAATTTTTTATAAAATATATAATTTAAACAATGGTTCACATTGTTGTAAACGAAGCATTTGTTAGTTCGATTAAAAAAGTGTTTTTTTACTCATTCTTGTTTGAGATTTCTCAAATGCTGGTTGTCTTTTTGTGAGATTAAAAAGTGAGAATTATGGATAAAAGCGATTTATATCGTTTTGCTCTTTTGAATCATTGGAGAAAGGAAAGGGAAAAGTATCCCCGACCTAATCGTAAGTGTATAAAAACATACTTCTCAATATTTTTTAAAACTTTTCATTATTTATTGATATGGATCTACAATATTGTTAAAAAGATATGAAACTTCCTTACAGACATAAAATTTTTCCCAGAAACCTAAATTTAATGAAGATTGAGAAAATTTCGTAAGCATTAAAAAAAAAATGGACAAAAAATGTTTGAGCATGTTTTATAAATGATACTTTTGTCTTAAATTGAAAAAACAACTTTATGGATAATTAAATTAAGTTTCTCTTTTTAAAATGGGAAATCCAATTTAAATTTTGGTGCACTACAGTATTAAATAACAAATGAAGAAATATTCAAATAAAAATTTGGAGGAAAAACAGGTATAGAATTAGGTACCGCTTGGATTGGGCACTTCAATCAGAAGTTTATACTGAATGTTAAATCTGCCATTTTCCAGTTGTTTCTATCCAGATTTCTTACTTCCTTTTTTGCACAATTTCTCGAAGAAAAAAATCCCAGTTTGAATCAGTTTTTCCTGGTTTCTGTATACAAACATAAAAAAAGAAGAAAAAACTTCCAAACAAAGACTTGAAAAGTGACAACCAATTGTAACTTTTGACTGAGAAATACAAATATAATATAGATTTTATGTTTATCTACATCCGATTCAAACGTTTAAAGAAATCAAAATATTACGCTAGAATGTTATTTACCCCCATTTGAGCGTTATTAATTCTTAATAAATAAAAACTGGTGTAAATACCTATCCGAATGTGTTCAAAATCTATTAACAATTGTCTGTTATTTCAAGTTAATGCCGAATGGAGTATTTGCACACTCCTTGATACAAGTAGTTAAATGTAAACTACAATAAATAATTAAGCTTACACTAAGATGAGATGCTTTTTATCCATTTGTAAAACATTTTCGTCAAACTTGGCATACATTTGGAAATCGCCAAACAGTAGATATATTTTTGTAAACAATCGAAAAGTAAAGGTAAAAGTTTGATTTCGATATTGTAAAGCTGAATGAGATGCATCAAATTATTACCAGATGCATTAAATTATTTTCGCATTCAAAAATACTGATGTTGGCGCAATTTGATATCGCCAATAAGTGTCGGTGAGAGTTTGTTGTGTTCTTCCAATACCTCCTAGAAGATAAGGCCTCTGCAAGGGTTATGACATCTTTCGTACTAACCATCACTGCGCAGCTTAGTAACCCGAATATGGAAAAAACGAACTTATTCTTGGATTCCCAAAAATCGCCAATACTGATGCCAATGCTGCTTCAATAATTTTGGTAATATAAGTTACTTACATTGTGGTAAAGGGATCTAAATCTACTAATACTGGTTTTTAGTATAATCAGCTTCTTAAAGCTCTCTTAAAGGGATAAAATTGCTTTAATGTGGTAAATTTTGACAATGATGAGTGGGTCTTTTGGCAATTACACTTCGTCAAATGACACTGAATATAGTTAATATTTATATTGAATTTTAAAAAGCGGGTTTTGCTTAATATAATAACGTTAAGTCACCGGGAAGCTCCAAAAGTTAAAATTATTAAAATAAAAATTAAAGAAAAAATGAAATTATTTAAGCTTTAATAAATGTGTCGGTATATGGTTTTCAGTTCTGCCCATGATTAAGCAGTGTTGATTAATAACGTTTATTTATTATTTACATTTCTACAGCGTACGAAAAACAACCATACTGCTATTTTTTTTAAACATTTTTTTTTTAATAAAATGGAGGTTTCCAAAAATACAAACCTTTTTCAAAGAAGATTTTCTACCTTTTTTATGAATTTTTTTATTATTGAACAGAATAAACACTTAAGAAATTATTTTAAAACTAGTTTTTATTTAAATTATAGAATTTAATTTTAATTAATATTTCAGCATATGAGGATGGTAGCGAATTCGAAGATGAATTCGATTTGGATGATATTGAATTGGATGAAATTGATTTGTAAGTAGTTATATCCCTAAAGTTTTATGCCTTTTGTCATGATTTTATTTCTTTCTTTTTTTTCAATGAAAAGGTACCCTTTTGAATATTTGAAAAATTTACACAGAAAGCAAGAATGCTATTAAAAACAACGAAACATTCAACCCTTTGTGATCGTAGTAAGTTCATACATGGGTGTCATACTGGTAGGAATTAATTTTCAGTACAGTAATACATGATATCCAAAATGATGAAGGAAAATATAATTTATTAATTCTTTTTATACTTTAGATATATGTAACACAATAATACGTTTTAATTTTATGTAAAAATTATATTTTATAGTTCTCGCGTGGTATCTTTCAAAGCATTCTCCAATATGAAGCACATGTTTTCGAGAACATATGAGTCGCAAAAAAGATCAGTTTGGCGATTTCCCGCTTTAATTTTTCTGTTTGAACATACAGAACAATCCTTACTCTTTACATCTTCACAGTGCCGGAATATATGTAGTTTGCATCACGCTGCGGCTAACATCTTTGCTGTGGTGGCTGAGCTCAGACATATGACTGAAATGGTAAAAAAGCGTTGGTGGCTGATCTAGACATACGACCGCAAAGGGTTAAAACAGCTGTCTTACTGCTTACATATTTTGGTCACAAAACACTACTGCTGGTGAAAATAGACTAAGATATGATATAAACATAAAGTAATGAACAGTCTATTTCAATAATGCTCACCCAATAATAAAATAGCAATTGAAAACATATTAAAATCAAAATTTCTTAAGATACACCGTTTTATTTTCCACACAATAAACCTAAAGAAACTCTGGAAGTCGCCTTCAAAGATCAAACAAATCATTAGAAATCACGCATTTTTTAAATAAAATCTATTACCTTCAGACAGATTTGAAAAAATATATTCCTTTTATAATTTCAGTGATGAGGAANCTGGTAAAAATCGACTAAGATATGATATAAACATAAAAATAATGAACAGTTAATTTCAATTATGCTCACCCAATAATAAAATAACAATCGAGAACATATTAAAATCAAAATTTCTTAAGATACACCGTTTTATTTTCCACACAATAAACCTAAAGAAACTCTGGAAGTCGCCTTCAAAGATCAAACAAATCATTAGAAATCACGCATTTTTTAAATAAAATTCTATTACCTTCAGACAAATTTGAAAAAATATATTCCTTTTATAATTTCAGTGATGAGGAATATATGATGGAGTTAAGAGCTGAGGTGCCATCATCTGATGATGATGAGGTTAATGATGATGAGGTTGGGGATGATGATGATGAGTGTGATGAAGTTGGTGATGAGGTTAAAAACGAGGATAATAATAATAATGAGGGTGATGGAGTTGAGGAGCTGATTAGGTATGTTAATTAGAATGCTTACTAATGGCAGTTCAATATTTTAGTTAAAATAATCTTTAGTGTTTGAGTTATTTTTCAACGGTTTTCAGATGACAATTTTGTAACTATTTTAAAACAAAATTGGAAGTGACTACATATCGGTTTTTAAATTTTATTAATCCCTGTGAATCTAAGGTACGGATAATTTAAAATGAATTTATTGAGCATGAGTAAAATTAATGCGTGCAGTTATTTAAAAGATTAAAATCTTTGCATTGACAGGAAAAAAAAAACCTTTGAAAAAAAAAACCTTTTTTTTCAAAGGGTATTACCTTAACAAGAGTATACTTAATAAAATAAAATAATTAAAAATGCAAATGCTGAAGGAATGACAATGTTACTCGTATAAACCAATTTTCTGAAAAGGATTTAATAATTCGTAAATAAGTACATTTTTATTCAGCAGTATAAAGTATAAACAATCTAAACAATTTTATACAAGAAAATACATTTATTTTGAAAAATAAAATATTAAAATAAATTGCAGCTGAACATATTTCTTGTAGGTTTCATTTCATTATTTTATACTTTTTAAGGTATTTTCCTTATAACCATGAGTTATTTTTCCATAGTTTATTTACTGATTTCCGGAAGAAAAAAAACAATATATATTGAATAAAAAACGAAATCTCTCTTTCATAAGTTTCGAATAAAAGAAGAATGAGGCTAATAACTAAATACTAAACAAACATTTTTTCAACTGAAAAATCTTTTTAAATACTATGCCACGATTTTGGAATTTACTTATAAATGCTACTGTAGTTATCACCCCTAGAAAGATTTATAATGGCCATTTTCTTATTTGATAAATAATTAACACAAAATATAAAATAAATAATTACACATCGTAGCAGTTTTAAAACATCTGTGATCGTTGTTCGATTAATAAATTCTCCCTCATTACAAATATATCTCATCTTTAACGAAAATTTTATTGAGCAAAATAACTTTATTGAATTTTAAGTTACATATTTTTTTCCTTTTTTTTTTATTTTTTTATTTTTTTTTTTTTTACTTTTAGAGAGGAATTGACTTACCCAACGTTCCTATTCAGCGATGTACAGATAGCGAGGCTATATAAGATGGATGTAGTGCACGATAAGGATTCAATCGAATTTGGCATTGAGGACGATAGGTATTTTAACTTTTTCGATTTTAAATATCGGCATTGTCTTAGAACCTATGTAAAGTAATGATGTTCATTAACATATATATATATANAAAATCATTTTGAATATTTTTAACTACTTTTAAGCAATTAGGATAAATTGATTGATGTAAAAGTTTTAAATCAGGAGAAATTTGCACGAAACATATTGTCAATAAATCTGAAAAATAAAATCTCCCTAATATATCCGTCACGAAATTGTTTCTCATTGCCGTAAATCATATAACGGTTTTGATCATTGTAGAGTAAAAATCGAATTTTTTAAAATTTGTGCTTTAGAAAATTTATCTGAACCTAAATGCCTTTTACTCTATACAAAAAGCTTAGAATTCAAAATGAAGCTGTTGTAACAAAACAAAAAACTGTATTTAACTTTCTAATAATGTGAGTGTTACTTTTAAATTTTAGATTGAAAAGTCGTGATGGTCCCTTCCTAAGAGATGAAGTAGACTTTTGGCAAAGAAGTGATATTGAGCTGACCATCAATGAACCCTCTGAACAAAAAGAGAAGGGATGCTTTCATTTTTTCTCTCGAATGTTCAGGAGATTGTTCAAGAGAAAATAAATCACGACTGGTCTGAAAGAAAATCAAGACCTGTCTTTAAGTAAATCACTGCTAATCAAGAATTTAATATGCAAATATTTAAACTGCTGTAACTCTTCAACATCGGTACATTGCTTATCAAATAAAATATAATATTTGCAAGTCCAAAGTGTATTTTATTTACAAATAGAGTAAGACATGCATCGAATTTGCAATCCCTTACTAGTAAAAGTGATAGTACATATTTTTTCTCATACCATGATGACATTTCTTTCGACCAATATCCGATTTAATTTTAAAAAGGCAATGAACCTAAATTTGAATTCAAACAAGAATAATTATGATATTAATATAGAATAGCAAGACATATCTTGTACTGCAACTTTCAAATCATTTTTGGGAAGAGAAACTGCCCTTTTAATTTATTATTTCGAAACTTGATCATATATAGATGCAATGACATACAAATTACCTCATCGAGTCGCATAGCTGCAGACGAACTAAAGGCCACGGCAAATGTAATTCCCCATAATGTGATTTTTAGAGTTGTGTTACATATGCGGATAACGTTATATAAAAGGAAGTTAAAAATTACCAAAGATGCTTTAATTATGTTTTTTAATTACAATTAAATTGTGTACAGTTCATTTGTAAATTACAATTAAACAAATGAACGATTAAAACAGGTTTCCGACAGGTAAAAGAGAACAGCGAAAACCTGAAATTGTCAGAGAATTTTATTTTAGCTCCAAAAAGCCAGGGAATAGACGGGGCAATTTGCAACTGTTTTCACAAAAACCTGGAGAATTCCTATTTTATACCTACCTGGAAAATAACCAGTCTTAAAATTGTCAGTAACAGTAATTAGTTATTGAGATTCAAGTTAAACAATTCTAAATTCTATTACAATTATTCAATTACAATTGCAGTTAAATTCTATTTAATTCTGTTACAATTATTTGTTGCGAAAATTTTACATTTCAATCAAACTGAAATGTTCCCATCCTCATTTAATGTATATTTTGATTACACAGAAAATCTAATATTTGCCATTACAAACAAAAGAATCAAAATTTTCAGATGAAATATTGCATGGCATAGATAAAGTATGATCTTGATTTTAATTGTAATTTACCTGGAATACCTGGAAAAGTCAGGGAATCTTTTTTCTGAAATAGAATGGGTACCCTGTTAAAAAGACGTTATACTCTTGCCTTTCATCAATGTCTAAAATTTCTTATAAGTATATTTTAGCAAACCTTTTATAAATAAAATAATAACTAGAAAAGTTTAGTGTCCAAGTGTTTAGTGTCCAACTTTCCAAGTGTCAAAAAATACACTTGAGGTTGATTGATAATAACCTGAAGTGTAAAACTGCAAACCACAGGTTGATAAATAAATACCTCTACAAGTATTAAAATCTATACTTGAGGTTGAAAAATAATTACCTGAGGTCGACAATAATACACCTCACGTTAGTAAAATATTATATTTCCAACTGTTAAAAAATACACCTGAGGTGGATTTATAGTAATATCTTGAAGTGTAAAACGACATATCATAGGTTGATGAATAAATACCTCAACAAGTATAAAATTAGATACCTGAGGTTGAAAAATAGTTACCTGAGGTAGAACATAATACACCTCACATTAGTAAAAAATTTACCCGTGCAACTATCAAAAAATACACTTGAGGTAGATAATAATAACCTGAAGTGTTACATGAAACACCTTAGGTTGTTGACTAAATACTTCCACAAGTGTTAAAAAATGTACTTCAGGTTGATAAGTAATAACCTAAGGTTGAAAATGAAATGAAACACCTTAATGTAGTAAATATCTATCTCTCCACAACTTTAAAATTAAACACCTCAGGTTGATAAATATATACCTCTGGATGTAAACTTAAGGTATATTTGAGGTTAATTTTGAGGTATTCATTTGTACCCTTTTCAACCTAACGACATACTTAAATAACAACCTCCTTTATACCTTTAAAAAATACCTCATTTATATCTTAATTTTTTCGTAAGGGAGGGAACCGACTGTAAATTAATAATAAAAATAGTGTTTTTGAACACCCTATCAAAAAAATGCAGCAATGAATTTGTAACTTGCAACAGTTATTTTGGTCATTACATGTAATAATTGCGCAAAATTTCGTAAACTTAGTTTAAATATGAATAGAAATAACGATATTTTTGTAAGAATAATTTTTTTGTTTCATGTTTTTCTACTATTAATTTAAAAATATTCAATTTAAACAAAATTTTCGGAGTTATTTAAAATTAATTTCAAAACTCTTGTTTTAAAATTCGAGAAAAATTTGCTTAAAACTGGTAAAGATATGCGTGATTAAAGTAGTTCTTTTATGCTGCGCATGAGCGTGAAGAAATTTTTTTTCTCTTTCCCTTCTTAATTTTGTGGTGAATTGTATTAGGCAAATAATAAAAAAAAAGTCAGATTTGAACATCTTAACAATTTATGAAGCTTCAAGACATTTTTTTAACTTGAATTCTCATTTTTTAAAAGAAAGCTAAAATGATAAAGGGTTTTCCACAAATTTTACTTTGTACTATTAAACAAGATTTATTAAAAATGACACCGGGGATAATAAAAATATCTTTTCTTTTTCATGTTTTCGTTCCTTATGCAATAATATTTTGGTGTATGGACGTTTTTTGTAAAGTAATTATCATTTGTTATTTAATTTTGTCTTATGATACAAAATAATATTTGTAAAAAAACCCTTATGATTTTGTGTTTCTTTTAAAAAGTTCACAAACTACTTGGAACTTCCTAAAATTTTACGACATTCAATTAGGACTGTTTTCAATTAGTCGCTTATAAAGTTATGAAAAAATTTCCGCAAAAGGGCAGTACTAAAAACTACTTCAATTTCTTATATATTGAGCAGTTTTCAACGAATTTTTTTTTCAAATTTCAAAGCAAAAATTGTCCCGCAGTGGACTGATTGCTAAGACGCGGTTTCCAGCAGATCACCGAAGTCAAGCGTCACTGGCTGCTGCCAGTGTGCGGGTGGGTGACCACTTGTATCAGTCTGCGTAGGGACCGAGGGTGTGCGGTATCGGTCCTCGTTAAACTGTTCTACCGTAAAGTGCTCGACTTCGCGTGCAGGTCGTCGGGCTACCGAAGTGGGGGTGCCATCCCCTCTGCAGAGGATCAAAATTGTGATGGCATGTCTCCAGATCATCCTCAAGGGATGTTTCCCAGACCGTCGCCGATAGCCCATTGTGCAGTTCTAGTGCGACGTAAATGAACTACAACAACTGCAACAACAAAGCAAAAATTTTGTAATTAATTTTTACTTTCTCTAAAAATTTTGCTTGAAATGATTGAAGAAATTATAGCAAAAAAACTATACAATAATTTTATAAAAATTTTATAAACGATAATAGCTTGAAAAGCTGTAAAAAGTTTTATTATTGTATTTGTATAATTAGAGGCTTATTTCTTTCTTTTCCTTACTCGATTACATTTAATTATATTCATCCCTAATATTGGCCATCAAAATGGGCTATAGGTGGCGTAAAACAGAACTCTCTACCTATGGCAACACTTCGCTTGCTTTCCTCATTAGCATGAGGAGAGTCATAGGAGAAGGAAGTACGTCAGTTTCTCTCTTGATTTTCAAATAGATCAAAAACATTCAAGTCAGGAAACTATACGGAACTAAAAACTACATTGAACATAGTTCTAAAAGAAAGCGTTGTGGAAACTTTAAAAAATATTTGTGACAATTAATTACGAAAAATATTAAGAAGGGGAAAAATATCGTAGTACATTCCTATACAACTGAAAAGAGGAGGAGTGAGAAAAGGGAAGGGCGAAAGGCATGGAACCGATCTTTTCCCCAGATGGCGTATTCGAGCGTTGCGATCTTGAATTTTTACTGCATTTTTTTCCCCCTTTCAAAGAAAAAAAAAGAGCTCAACCGGACTTTCAACGAACTTTTCTTTTTTAGAAGAAAAAAAAGGGGGGATATTTTTAAAGTAGAAGTTAAAGTGGTTTTTTCGGCATCACTATAATTATCATTCGTAACTGTTAACTGTAAGAAAGAGCCGGCCCGGGAAATAAACTTATAATTTTATGATTGGCAGCAGCAGGAGTCTAGTTGCAGTGTCTTTGCGCTTATAGGATTCAGCTTTCCCTGCATTTTGGTTTGTTACCCGCTATTGGGCAATAACATTATACTGTTTCAATATTGTTTCTTTTAATAAAACAAATCTAGTCGGACGACCGCAACAGAATCTGTTCTTCTAGCGTTTTTCTTTTCTCTAAATTTACAAAATATCTTGAAATGGCTGATCAGGTAATATGTCTTGCTAAGCCTACTTTCAAAAGCATTTCGCTTATGAATAATGAAAAAAATTATGTCCAACATTATTTTTATTGATTAATATGTGATGTTTTGTCTAGCTATTCTTATCTTTGTCAATTAGTTCGAAATTTGTAAATCCCCCGTCTATTTCGCCCTATAAGTCTTTTGTTCTATTGCGTAATTCACTAATATTAGAGTTATTTTAACTATTCTCACTCAATTTCCTATTATTTAGATTAACAGAATTTATATGTTCCGAATACATTTCTTCATAAAAGCTCTTAAGTAATTTAGAACAATGAGTTCTTACTCATTCATATGTTAAGTTACTTCTTTTTTATCGTTATTATGGTGAATCTAAGACTTAAAATTGCTAGCAAAGCTGTTGCAGTTTCTTTATTTCTTGTTCTTTTTAAAATTGTATTAATATCAAACTACAAATTTTCTTTCATATGGTATTCAAGTTGTGATTTAATTTTTTAAACTCAGTTGCCAAGTTTGCTAGTGCAAAAGAAAAAAAGTACTATTTGCTAAACTAAGGTTTCATAATAGTTGAATTCCAAGTGTAGCAGAGGGAAAATCACACGCTTATTTTATTTTAAAATATTTATTAAATATATCTGATTACTTAAATTTGTAAGAATATGCTACTTTAGAGAGGGATTTTTAATTGGCATAAAATAATAAAAGAGCCTCATAATTAAATAATTGCAAGTTGATTGGAAGTACGTGGAACAGAGGGGGGAAATTAAGTCCCACATTTTTGACAAGCACTTGTATATATGCTAAATTCTGTAAGTTAGATCCATTTTAAATTATCACATTTCAATATAAACTGTTATCAGACTTTTTAAATTGCAAACACATTTTAATTAAATCCAAATAATGCAATCTAACAGAGGAGATGTTTGACAAATTGTTAAAGGGAAATATCAATGTCGAATGCCATCATTCCTGTGCATGAAAACCTCTTTACGGTACCTCCGACTCCATCAACTGCACCTTTTCTGCGAATTGTAGCAAAAAAATGCTAATTGATATTATTAGATGAAAAAGTAATATTGCAAAGTGTATATTTCTGTTTGAATTGGGATGATTGCCCATCAATAAAGTCAGTTTCTTATAATGTAGGCTTTTTTTTATGTTTATCAAATAAGATTTCATTGAAAGTGAGGATTGCATATTTGTTGTGCTACATATAGTCACTGGCTGTGGCATAACCTACTATTTCTTTTTCTTCCATTCAATCTAGTTGACGAAACCAAGCAACAGCAGTATATAAAGACTACGTGCGAGTCCAATTGTCTGACTGTACGTCATTTTGAGTGAGGTGGCTAAAATTTACATGTGAAACTCACTTAATGGGATTCTGTCTAAACTGCTTAAAATAGTCAGATTGTGTTTATTTTTCAAGGCAGTGTAATATAAATTTTTCTAATTGACCTTCAAGCTCATCAATTACATGGGACAGTGTGCTTTGATTGAAAAATTGAGCACATTCCTTGCTACTGTTATTTTTGTTTCTTTGTTTTGTTTTGTTATTTTAAAAGGAGTTTTTCACACATTCTTTATACAGTTAATTGAGCAATTGTCACAAGGTACTATATTTAGTAATTCTATGTAATTATTAGGCAAACAACTGTGATTTTAACAGTAGATTCACATTTTCATGAATAGCACACACACATGTAGTGTTTTCTATAAGCATAAAATATGGATGTGGCATCCTACACGTGCACAGCGTTTTTAAAAGGTGTTTATTTTTTATTTATTTTTTCAAAACCCTTAAAGGTGCTTTTTTAAATTTTTTTATCTTAAGAAGAGATTTTTTTTTCTTGTCCATATCGATTGTCTTTCTCAATTAAAGAAAATTTTATAATTTTCTCTGCTATGTTTATCAGTAACTAGTTATTTTATTGTGATTATGTAAAGTTTTTGAAAATGTTTTGAAATTTTATTGACTCATGACTCCTGTAAAAGCTAGGGAAATGTAGCATTATTATGAATTGAGTCTACTTAAAAGTGATTTCTCTTATTTGAAATTTAAGAATTAATATAACATATTAATATAATTGTTTAAAAAGCTATGTAAAAGGCTAAAAACAAAATTAAAAGCTGATCGTAAAACGAAATGGATTAACAATGAAACAGTCAGAAATTAACAGTGTCAAAAACGTCATTCGTGTTCAAAATTTGGGAAAATTTTTAATTAAATTTTTGTCTTTAAAATTTTATTTAGTGGAATACTTCCTGTCAGTTATAACCCCTACAGCAAAATGACTGTGGCNCCCCCTTCCTCTAGCGTCCACCATGTAAAAGGGGGCGACCGCAAACGATTTGTAGCTTACAAATTATCAATTTGTAATTGTGGGATATCTATTTCACCGAGGAAAGCAAAAACAGCTAGCCCTCAGCCTAATATAAATTTTTCTAATTGACCTTCAAGCTCATCAATTACATGGGACAGTGTGCCTTGACTGAAAAATTGAGCACATTCCTTGCTACTGTTATTTTTGTTTCATTGATACCACATTACAGGCTGTTGTAACTGATGATCAAGAATCCTTTTACAGGGGTCTGTCCAGGTTGAATTTACTACCGTTTAGCGGTACCTTCACAAATTCAACTTTAGGAAAAACGGTAGTTTCACAAATTCAATTTTAGGAAAAACGGTAGTTTCACAAAATACTTTCTCTTAAAATTTTATTTTTGTATCCCTTAAAAAACGATAAATCCATATTTTTGTGTTGATTTTTTAATATAATTTGTAATTTTTCACAAATTATGTCTAAAATTTCACAAAATAGGTATCTCTCAGAAAAACCTAGACAGATCCCTGTTTTAACACATTTTAAAAGGAGTTTTTCACACATATTCTTTATATAGTTAATTGAGCAATTGCCACAAGGTACTATATTTAGTAATTCTATGTAATTATTAGGCAAACAACTGTGGTTTTAACAGTAGATTCACATTTTCATGAATAGCACACACACATGTAGTGCTTTATATAAGCATAAAATATGGATGTGGCATGATACACGTGCATAGCATTTTTAAAAGGTGTTTATTTTTTATTTGTTGTTTCAAAACCCTTAAAGGTGCTTTTTTTTTCATTTGGGTTTTGTAAATAGTGCTTAATTTTTTATCTTGAGAAGAGATTTTTTTCTTGTCCGTATCGGTTGTCGTTCTAAATTATAAAAAAAATTTATGATTTTTTCTGCTATGTTTATCAGAAACTAGTTTTTTCATTGTGATTATATAAAGTTTTTGAAAATGTTTTGGAATTTTATTGAATTATGACTCCTGTAAAAGCTAGGGAGATGTAGCATTATTATAAATTGAGTCTACTTAAAAGTGATTTGTCTTATTTGGAATTTAAGAATTAAAATAACATATTAATATAAATGTTTAAAAATCTATGTAAAAGGCTAAAAACAAAATTAAAAGCTGATCGTAAAACGAAATGGATTAACAATGAAACAGTCAGAAATAAAGTGTCAAAACGTCATCATTCGTGTTCAAAATTTGGGTAAATTGTAATTAAACTTTTGTCTTTGAAATTTTATTTAGTGGAATACTTCCTGTCAGTTATAACCTCTACAGCAAAATGACTGTGGCATTGCAGAATGTACCACAGTTTTTGCAGGCTGATTTTCTATTTTTTAGTTCCAAGTTTTTCCGAAACAAAAGTTCAGCAAAATTGGTGTTCTATTCTTCATTTGCATACCTATGCTCCTGATTTTTCAGTTAACTTTTAACCTGTATCAGTCACTCATTTATTAGATACCACCTCAATTGCTAACTCTGTGAATATTGTTTTTTTTTTTTTTTTTTTTTTTACATGAGTTTAAGGTGCTCGGGTAAGTTTTTTTCTGAGCATTAAGAGTACCTTAATTTTGCTTCTAAATTGTTATAAAATATTTACATTAAGGAAATGTTAATGTAAAATATTATAAAAAGTTATACTTCGTGATTATTCTGTCGATCTGCACATAGGGGTTACCCGTTGATCTGTAGACGCTCACAAAAATGCGCAGATCCTTCACCGCCATCATAACTTTAAATCAATTTCCAAATTAAGCATTCTAAACACATTAAATTCTTCAAATGAAACAATAACAAAACAATATAAGTGAAAAATGTAATAAAAAGTATCAAAACAAATATTTAGAAAAACTTACTTTTTTTATACACATTGAATCAATAAAAAAGAAGCGGTATATTTCAACGCTCTAAAGAAATTAACTAATGTAGTTAAGGATTACACAGTAAATATAAAATTTGCACTTATTGGTAGAAAAGCTAACTTTTGATGAAATCGGGTTTAACAAAAATAGTAGTCAGGATAATCCCATTATCAAAATGTTTTTGCATAAAAAAAATTTTTTTATAAGGCATAGAGACAATTCTTTAGCCATCAATTGTTATTGTTTTGCAAGAAAGTTCGTACGAGTAAAATAGCGTTCAAAACATTTTTTTCTGCAGCATACATTAGCTTTATATATTTTGTGTCTCAGTGTAGAAATTTAATGAAATGATAGCTTATATAATTTATCTGAGTGTTAACATATTTATTCTTATTGGATTCTTTTTCAAAAATATTTAGGTTCAAAAACCTGAAGGTGATGGTGGCTCTGAATATATTAAGCTTAAAGTTGTGGGACAGGTTTGTATGCATTCAGTAATAGTTTATGAAAGTTTTGTATAGTATTTCAAGATAGTATTTATTATAAGACTTTGAACTGAAACAATTACAAAATTTGTTATTGGGCAATAGTAGCATTGCCACTTTTTTGAAAATATATATGTTTATAATATTCCTTTAGAGCATTTCTCAAAAACTGGTTAAATACTTTGAGAAAAACCCATTGAAATATTACTTTTTTAGGATAAAATTTAAAGTAATTCTTCATGAATTCATGCATTCTATGAATTAGTTTTCAAATGAGAATAATTCCATAATTTTGAGAATGTTGTGCCTCGTAGTTATAACTTATTAAAACTTTCTTGATTTTATAAATGAGTACTTGTAATAATTGCCGAAAAAGCCGTCGGAAATTAATGTGGACTTACAATGGAATCGTAGTGAATCAAGCGCATGAAAAAGTGATTAAGATATAAAATTTGTTATCCTGACGTCATATAAATTACATAGGAATCGAGAAAATAGTCACAAAACTGCCGACAGCTGCTGAAAAGCAAACCATATGTGGATTTGCTGTAGAATCGATCTAAATTGAGAAAGTAAAAAAAATAACTCCTTAAATTAAAAAAAAAACTCACTTGCAGTAATAACATTGTGAGGATTTAAAAAATATAAATTATGAGGATTTTAGGAATTGCGGGAAACGACGTCTATAATAATGGATTGGTCAAAAAATAACCCAAATTCTAAATTTAAATGTGTTAAATCTTACAAAGATATCGGGAAAGCAGTTTGTGTCAATACATTATCTAGTACTATAGAATCGACACGAACTTTCCAGGTGACCTAATAGTAAATTTAGAATAAAATAGAACAAAGTAAATTTTTGTAATAGTCATTACAATCACAAAATAGTAATTGCAATTTTTAATAGCATACAATTATTATTTAAACAGTGACTTAATTTTTTCAAAATGAACTATGAGTAGGAAGTTTTTTTTAAGGGATGGTGGCTTATTTCTCAAATGAGTATGTTTATTGAGATGAAAGGGCAAGCAAAGTGGGTCGACCTTCAGAAAGTACTTAAGGAGAACACTGTCGTTATAATTCGTTTATGTCTTCATGAGAGAAGAAAGAAAAAAAACATCGTCGACGAAAATTCACACATAAGCTTGGATGTAAAAGGCCCTTATGTTTAAGTACTGTCCAGACTTTTTGTGAAATAATGAAAAAATTACTCACATTCTTTAAACAAGGGTCCGCTTTTATAAATTTGTGCAAATAGGGTCCAGTTATTGCAAAAAAACTTTTTCAAGGAGTTTTTAAATTGTAAATCGATACAAGATTATGCTCAACACTATAAAATTATAATTTAAAGAAATTAAATTTTCAAAAACAGGCAGTAATTGCTGCTTCTAAATTAGAGATGCAACATACGAATATTTGGTATTTAGCCTATACTGCCGAACGCAGAATAATGGAAGAATCGTCTGCGGAAGACAAAACTTAATTCGTTTACATCCATCTTTCTTATTTTCTGCCCTGCTTGATTAACAAAACAATAATGAAGAAAACAAATTTGTGAAGGGTTCGTTTTTAAGTTAAAATATTTTGTGAAGGGTCAGTTTTTATGAAGAGTCTGTTAACGGACCCAAATTTCTTCTAAACAGACCCCTGTTAAGGGTGTACTGCATTTTTGTCTCTCGTCCTTTTTAAAAATAAAGTCAAAACCCTGGATGGATGCTACAATTGAAGATAGCAAAGATCGGCTGTATGTATGAAAGGATGGATTAAGTGAAAGTCACATTCCAAATGTTATTTAGACAGGGTGAAAGTTAACATCAACTGTCCTTTTCAAAATTTCATTTGTAATGAATATGAAATGTTTATCTGTGTGCAACCTTTTGTGATTGACCATTAAGAGGCTCAATTGATTGACGATAGTATGGACCTCCTTTACCCGACCACAGTAAATTAAAAAAAAAAAAAGCTAATGAATTCACATAGTGACAGAGCTCCCTGAGAGACTTATGCATATTTAGCGACTGTGGCACGTGAATATAGTACAAATGATTGGATGATAGAAAAAAATATATAACATAATCATAACCTACACATAACAGAGCTCTGTGCTCGAACTCCTCTTCCATAAATATCTTACGTAGTATATGTAACAAAGGGAAAGAGAAAGAAGACTGATTAAATCTTGACCTTTTAAACAGAATTTCGTCATCATTGACTGGAGTTGTAACAGGCTTTTCCTGTGAGGAAAACATAGTCTTCTCAAGCTTTGTTTTTTACTGCTCTCAATGAACTCACGACGACATAATGTGACTTGACAATTAGCATAGATTCGGCTGATTTAATGAGATTTGTCGATCATATTGCCAACATCAATGCCAAATATCTGACAACTATTTTTGATGATAGTGTATGCAGGACATGCAACTATTTTCGGCATGAGGCTGTTGCAACTATTTTCAGGAAAAGGAAACTATATGGCGATTGTTCTGTACTCCTAGCGATGATTTTCAACATAAATTTGGTTGAGAACCTGCGGGAGCTTCTCAAAACACTGGATTTTTTTTTAAAAATTTTGAATTGCAAATTAGAGTCCCCGCCTTTTAATTCCTTTAATTTGCACAGACTTGATTGTAAGTCTATTTCGTTCGTAAGATTATAAGTCTTTTTCAATTGTTATTTCTATGAGATTCCGCATTTTTTTTTTAAAAAAAACAAACAAAGTAGTCAATTTCCTAAATCTATGTATGTATTTATTTATTCAATTATTGTTAAAAGGGAAAAATTTTCAGAAAGTGTGTTTATATAAAAATTATCATTTTTGCCACTAACTTGACTAAATGGATCATGGTGTATGGATATGGCAATTAAGACGTTTAATAAAATTTTAGTCATATTTTTGTTATTTAGACAACTATTTTCATAGTTTTTGGCAACTATTTTGTTCATTTTTTTCTATGGCAACCCTGTGTTAAACAGTGTTTTCTACAGGGAAAAACTTTACTTTCTCAGGTGTCTGTCGAGGCCAAATTTACTGCCGTTTAACAATACCTTCACAAGTTCACCTTAAGGAAAAACGGTAGTTTCACAAATTACTTTTTCTTAAACTTTTATTTTTGTACCCCTTAGGAAACTATAAATCCATATTTTTACCGTATTTTTGTGATCTTTTAATATAATTTTTCACGAATGATTTCCAAATATTCACAAAATTGGTACCTATCTCTCAGAAAACTTCGACCCCTGTTTCTTTAAACAGTATTTCACTTATATTTGAATTTAATCTACAATAACGCAAAGTATGTTGTTCAGTTTTGTATGCGAGCAACGCCCTCTGTGTAAAAAACGAGAGAACTAGTGTGTGTAATACCAACCTCGAAAGAGGCAAGTGTGTGAATTCAATGTGCAAATAAAATAACAGTCCGCTGCGTTAATATGTGTTTTGTGTCTCATGTTAAGAGANTCAGTTTTGTATGCGAGCAATGCCCTCTGTGTAAAAAACGAGAGAACTAGTGTGTGTATTACCAACCTCGAAAGAGGCAAGTGTGTGAATTCAATGTGCAAATAAAATAACAGTCCGCTGCTTTAATATGTGTTTTGTGTCTCATGTTAAGAGAAATAACATATGTCTTATCCTCTTTTAAAACTTTGTTCTATGTCCTAAATTTATTTCTTAACCAAGTCCCCTTTATTTGTAGATTCGCATGAAACTAAATGCATTTAAATAATGAAATTTTCTTATAGTATATAAAATCTCTTATAGTGTATTCATTGAAATGTTAGCATTAGGAAAAATAAGTTTTTAGTAAATAATACTATTAAGTTTGATAATGTTGCATTTTCTGCATCTTTAAAAGAATAAGTGTTACTATGCCTCTTTTAAAATGCTTGTGTGAAACTTTGCTACAGATTTTTTTTTTTAATGGATATGTGTTCTTCTGATGAATGAATTAGCTGAATATGTTTTAAAGATATTTAGTCTTAAGAGTTTTTGCTTCATTGTATTTCAGGATTCTAATGAAATTCACTTTAGAGTGAAAATGACAACACAGATGGGCAAGCTGAAAAAATCATACAGTGATAGACAGGTACTTTTTGTTTTTGGAAAAATTTTCATACAGGTTCAATTTTATTTATAATACTAATTTACATTCTGATTAAATTAAATTTTGTTATATTTAAAAAAAAAAGTTTGAAGTTTTACGGGGGAAAGTTCAGGAACAAAATTTCTTTTTGATTATGAACCCTGTGAACATTATTCTTTTATGGTCTCTTTCTTTTTTCTTCAAAAAATATGAGTGAAAAAGTGCATAAAAAATATTGATTTCTAATGTTTAAATTTTTTTGGTTTAAAAATTGAACTATTTTTGTTTCTATCTAGCTTTCCTTTTTTTTTAAAAAAAAAAAGAAAGAAATATGTTTTTATAAACCTTTTTATTTAAAACTGTTTTAGCGAATTCCTGAAATTTCTACGACGAAAATTCGTTATACCGATATTATGAATTTTGACATTAACTAAAATTATTTTCTTACATGGAATTTTTCACATAAAAGAATAATAAATATAGCATTTAATTATAGTTTTAATCTGTTTGTACTCTACATGTAAAAAATATCAAATCAATTTTTTTAGAATCTTTCAAAATCAAATTAAAAGGAACAATGGATTTATTATCACTTGTGCTCCAAATGCATGCTCCAAACTTTTCCAAATTGTGCACATTTTCAAACAACTGAACTGGAAAATCACTCTTTTATTTAGCCATATGTATTTTTACTTCTTTAAGCATAGACGGGTTGGAGTTGAGTCTTTTCAAGGTGTTCCCTTCCGAGTGAGTCATCTCTTTTGACATGTCCCTTTCATATCTTGAAACTTATTATTTTGAATATGTAAAAAAAATTTTAATCGTGAGAGAAAATAGGAATTGTTGCTTATTTTCACCGTCGTTGAATCGGATTTCGTAATATTGGTATTTTTAATTCATTGTTTCTATGGGGATTCAGAAAATATTCATTACATTGAAATTTTTGCTAAACCAGTATTTGACGGTATGTGTTTATTGCTTAACTGTGAATTAGAATTTGAGTGATATGTGTCAAATTTATTTTGATGTTTTATCTCATGATAGGGTGTGCCAGTTACCTCTCTCCGCTTTTTATTTGATGGGCGAAGAATTAATGATGATGAAACACCAAAGCAGGTATTTATACTATTTTCTAGTTCATTTGTTTATAATTTTACCATGTTCTTAACTTAAGATGCAGTTTTGTGTGCTTGAAATGTTAGGCATGTGACTCTTCCGCGAATCCCAATACTGTTGGTTCGTGGTGTTCTGCTAGTCTATTTCTAGTCTAACAAAATTTTCTTATCAAAAGTATAGATTTCATTACATATGCATATTTTCATGAACAAAACGCTTGTTCTACCCATACCAGCGACCTCTGTTTTTCTTCCTAAGATCTCTTTTATGCACATTGGTGAGAAAAACAATTTCGGATAAACGAGAAATCAAGATTGGGAGGAAAAGAATCCCATATTAACTTCAGCTAAGACTACTGAATCAAACAAAAGATTATGAAATTGATAATTTAAAAATTATTCCAAACTGGCAAACATTTAAAAGGTTGTTCACTTAAAAAAACGAAGGAAAAAATTCAGATTTGTAACTGAAGAATTATTTAATCAATGTGTTAGATTTACCTAAATTTTTTATTTGGCTACAAATAGATCAAATATTATTTTAATGTAGTCATGGATTATTAGGGTTTCTTTTTAAGCCTTTTTAAAATGTGATTTTTTTTTATGTTTAGAAAAGAGGCTAAACTGATCTAGATCTTAGTCTTGCCATCACTACCTTCATGTTTAATATTTTACTCCAAGTTTGAATGTATATATATGAAATTAATGTATTTTAAAATATTATAAAATAATTTTTAATATGAGTGTTTTATTTATGAANATTTAGCCTCAAAAAAGTGCAAAAAAAAAAAGTCATGGATTATTAGGGTTTCTTTTTAAGCCTTTTTAAAATGTGATTTTTTTTTTATGTTTAGAAAAGAGGCTAAACTGATCTAGATCTTCTTCATGTTCAATATTTTACTCCAAGTTTGAATGTATATATATGAAATTAATGTATTTTAAAATATTATAAAATAATTTTTAATATGAGTGTTTTATTTATGAAATGAAAAATTTGCAAAAACACTTTTTAATAACTTTTCTTAGCTCAATTTTATGCAAATATATTGTTGAGGCCTCAATGGAAAGAGTAGAAAGTGAAATCTGTCTTAGAGAATTTTTGATCTTTTTAGCAATTTTATTTTTAATTGCTGTTTTTAAAATTTATATCAGCTATGTTAGAGAGTAGATATTTTTATGATTTAAATTAATATTCATGAAAATTTATGAAGTTACATAAAGTTGAATTTTTTTTATTTGTTTTTCGACACTCGTATTTTTTTAATCCTCCTATTTTCCTTACTATTCCGAACATTTTGGCTGCTGTCCCTGAAGGTCTCAAAAAATTTAATCATAATTTAATAACAATAGATTTCATTTTTATTCTAAAAGCTTTCGCACTCCTTCCTAATGAGAACGTTCAATTTTTTTTCTCAACCAAGTTAACCAATCACATATCTTTTTCTTACAATCACTAACAGCAATGTTTATAGACAAATTTTTTAGATTGTTGCTTTGGCGCTAATTTTCTCTATTTCATTTAAATGTTTAAAAACCAACGGTATGTGTGTTTCCTTTTGATTGTAAAAATATACAGGACGAGGGGGGGAATTTCCAGATTTCAGTGGGAACCCTCCATTAATATGATTTGTGTTAAAATTGCCCCCTACGTAATACATTAGGTTGTAATTTTTAGTTTAATTGCTTCTGCTTGTTTTTTCAGTTGGAAATGGAAAATGACGATGTAATTGAAGTATATCAGGAACAAACTGGCGGGAAGATGTAAGTTGCAGACTGAAATTAAAAGCTGCATTCTTTTGTATGTAATCATCTTGTGTAATCATGAATGAACTGTCACTTATTGTTTTTAGAGCATTGGTCATCAATTTCATATTCACTTTGTTTTTTGCTTTGGTTATGTCATACGCAAAGAAAAAAATAACTTTTTCCATCTTTGCTATTCTTTACTGTTTTAAACTTATATTTAAAAAAAAAGAAAGAAATTTAGTGTTTTCATTAATTCCTAACGAGACAAGCTATAAAAGTTGTAGTGTCAGTGAAGTTCCAGTTATCTTTGTAAACTATATAAATGATCTGTGCTTAATTAAAATTTCATTTTAAAGCTGAAAATAAAGTCTTCATTCTAATGGCTGTTTCTTTTCTTGTGGCATATATATCCTTTTTAAAATATCTGACATGATTGTATCTCACCCATGCAGTGTTTTCATCATAGAAAAAAAAATGGGTGAGAATTTTTCACCCTTTCTCAAAAACAGGATGAGATTTCAGAAAGTTAAGTGAGATTTTTAAACTAAAAAACACAAATAGGCTTGGAAAAAAATAGTTTCTTTTATTATAATACATTTTTAACGTCTTTTAAAACATTGACTATTTTTGCTGCATCATCGTATTACTAAGTATTTGTCCATCTTGCATTAGTGCATAAAAAATTTGAACGTCTTACATGAAAAAACCTTACCTACGGTAAACACATGGTTGCGGAGATGTGTTCTGAAAGGGGTTCAGTGGTTCGAAAAGGTTCTGAACAATACTGAGAAATAGGGAAGCTAGATAACTGGGCAAATGTTGAAAATAATGAAAGATCCCTGAAGAAAAGTGAAACTGATTTTATTCTAAATGGCATAATTCGAAGCTTATTCAAAAATGCGAGAAATTTGTGGATTTTGAAATTGATTTATAGAATGCGCAAATTTCTCGCGATAATGATTTTTTAATGCGAGATTCTCGCGCTGTAGTGAAAACAATGCCCTTTGACACTTTTCAGTCTTGTGAAAAAGGGTGGTCACCCACCTTAAAAACCTGGAATTATCAGGNAGAAAAAAAATGGGTGAGAATTTCTCACCCTTTCTCAAAAACAGGGTGAGATTTCAGAAAGTTAAGTAAGATTTTTAAACTAAAAAAACACAAATAGGCTTGGGAAAAAAAATAGTTTCTTTTATTTTTTAAAGCATTGACTATTTTTGCTGCATCATCATATTACTAAGTATTTGTCCATCTTGCATTAGTGCATAAAAAATTTGAACGTCTTAAATGAAAAAACCTTACCTACGGTAAACACATGGTTGCAGAGATGTGTTCTGAAAGGGGTTCAGTGGTTCGAAAAGGTTCTGAACAATACTGAGAAATAGGGAAGCTAGATAACTGGGCAAACGTTGAAAATAATGAAAGATCCGGGAAGAAAAGTGAAACTGATTTTATTCTAAATGGCTTAATTCGAAGCTTATTTAAAAATGCGAGAAATGTGTGGATTTTGAAATTTATTTATAGAATGCGCAAATTTCTCACGGTAATGATTTTTTAATGCGAGATTCTCGCGCTGCAGTGAAAACACTGACCTTTGACACTTCAGTCTTGTGCAAAAGGGTGGCCACCCACCTTAAAAACCTGGAATTTGCGACTCTTTTCTTTGATTTTTATTAATTTTCTTAAGTTAATTTTTTTTTTTTAGATGGAAATTTATCGCTATAAGTTTGAATTATAGTCAATTTAGCGATGCTTTGCGTCAAAATTTGCTGTTGTAGGCAAACTAGATTACCACATGAAACTCCCATGGTTGCTAAATAAATGGAGAAACCTTTGACCTCTTTGGAAACTATAAAACTATGTAGATTATAGTTAGTTATAATTGATTAACAATAGATTTTATTTTGCACTTTTTTTCTGAAAGCTTTTATACTCTTATCCAATGAAATTTGTGAATTATTTTTTTCACCAAAGCCAACCAATCGCACCTTTTCTTAAAAGCGCTAACAGTCTACAAATTGATGTTAATTTTCTCGATTTCATTTTAACTTTTACCATATTTCTAATAAGAATTTCTTTTAAGAATCAACTATATGTTAACAGTTAATTTTGTTGGCAGATTTTGATTCAAAATTAGATTTGTATAGTAATCACTGTCTGAAATTCGTAAATATTGCTTGCATTCCCGAGATATTTTCAGAACTGTTTCTCCTTTAACCCTAAAAAGCAGGCCAAAATAAGGGAAGTATGGAAAACATAATAAAATATGAAATTTATTTTTAGATGTTAGAGAGAAGAAAAATTAAACTTTCCTCAAGTGCAGCTTTCTAGTTGTAAAAACAATTAACTAAAACATTATTTAAACATATAACTTTACTTTTGGTTTAAAGAAAATATGGTCAATGAATTTTATTAAGAGAAGTTTAATTACTTTTTCAAGATGGTACATTAAAAAAAATAGCATTTTAAATAAATACTTTGACGCTTCTCTTGTATCCATTCTAGCGATGTAAAATAACTGGATTTTTAGAAACTTGGGGTAAATACTCTGAATTATTACCCCTATAAATACCAAAGATTCCTTAATACCTGGGGTAAATACTTCCTAAAGTATTTATCAGTTTTATTGAAAATTCGTGGTTATGGTCTTCTCTATACGAAGTTATATATATTTTAGACACTATTGAATTTTGCTTACATTGTCAATGCTTAATTCCTCATTAACTAAAAAGGAAAAATTATACAGTTAAACATATAAATTATTAGAATCGTAATTTTTTAGTTTAGAAATGCAAGAATTTTTCAAGTTTTATGTAATTTATTTCAAAAAGTTAATCATACTGAACTTTTCCTGCATATCAGGGTGGCCACCCACCTGGAATTTTTTTATAGATTTTCTTAATTTAAATTATTTCATGGTCCGGAATACCCACTTTCTTTGGACGGAAATTTATTGCCATACAGTTGAAATATCAACTTAGCAATATTTTGCATGCTTCAAAATTTACTCCATTATAACTATGTTAAACTAGAATGCCACATGAAACCCATGATTGCTAAATGAATGGAGAACCCTTTTTAGAGATTATGCAGTTTAGGAAAGGCAAAGATTGTGGTGGAGGTTGAAGAAGGAGTTAAGATATTAGCTCCTGTTTATAAAAGTAGCATTTATTTCTCTTCTAATCCGTGGGTTGATTCCATTTATCGTTCAAGTTTGTTTCGATGCTTTTAGTTTTTTTTTTCTTTCTTTTGACTAAATGATTAAAAATGTTTTAGTATTTTTAATTTCATGAAATTCTCCTTAAATTTTATGTTACACTCTTTCTAAAAGCTTTTGTGCTCCTATTCAATTAAATCGGTGAATTATTTTTCTCAGCAAAATCAATCAATCACATATTTTCTTACAATCGCTAACAGCAATGTTTGCATTGATGCTAATTTTGACCTTTTATAACATTTTAATTAAAAAAGGTTCTTTTAAGGACCAACTATATGTTAACATTTTGTTGGTAAATATTTGATTTAAAATTTGATTCACTATGTCGAAAGTTCGTTAATGTTACTCTTTTTGCAGGAATGATATTTCCGGAACTGTTTCTCCTTTTACCTTAAGAAGCTGGTAAAAATTAGGGAATGTATGGGAAACATGTTAAATGTTGCATAAACATAGGATATAATTTTTTTTATTCATATGTGTTTATTAGGAAGAAAGAGAATGAAACTTTTTATTTTTTTTTTATTCTGCACTGTGCAGATTTCTTGTTGTAAAAGCATTGTCCTAATTAAGAGAATATTTTTTGCTATTTCTCTGTTTCTTTTTTATTCAACTTGACAACTTCAGTTTTTTTTTTTTTAGCTATTAGTTAGTTTTTATTTATTTATACACCAATAATATAGCTAAGTTTCGATTAATTTTCAAAATTTATGTATAAAAATTTCGTATATAAGAAAATAATATCTATTAATGATTTTTGAAAGGAAAATACTACTATTCGGCCACCAAATATTTGGTATTCAGACAATTTTTTTGAACGACTATTCGGCAATTCTGCCAAATCACTTCATTACATCCCTAATGAAAATATATTTAACAATACTTGTCAAAGGTTTTTTTGAGTCTCTCTGTATTTGCCATTTGGTGCACTTAGTGCAAAAACTATTGAAAGTAACACATTAAACTTTTTTATTCAATAAAAACAATATATTGTACATGCTAAGCATATTTTCTCCACATCCACCTTATTTTTTTTTTAATTAATAATGTACCAAAACGTTAAAAATTCCAAAAAAAAATTCTTGCTAAGTTGTTAAAATAAATGTATTTTAATTATTTTTTCAATGATACAATAAAAGAAATATAATTTTAAATAAAATACATTACAATATTGGTACTTTTGTTGTATCCATCTTATAACTTAATGAGAAAAAAGGGGGGAAAAAATCAAGAAAATTTGAACCCTGATTTGAGTGGTCACCCTGTATATGGATCTTGCATAATTCCTTTTTTGATCCATCTTTAATTGTGATGTGATATCTTTCTGAATTATAATAATGCTCAATGGGCTGTAAAAATTTGAGTTTTTATTTCTTTAATAATAGTGAATTAAGAAATATAGCTTAATATTAGTATGGCTTTCAAAAGGGTATGAAATATATGCTAACTTGAATGTTTCTATTTGCTATGAGTTCTCCCCCCCTCCGTTAAAAATTATATGTTACACCTATTGAACAACTCCAAGTAAAAAATCAATAAAGGATGGATGGATTATTAAACTAAAATATAAACATTGGAGAAATGTTCGTAGTTTCTTATTCTTAAATTATTTTTTTATATTAACAAAACTTATGAAATTTTCATATGACTGATTACAAGATGTATTTTCAACACAATTTACATATCACAAGATTATTTTAAATTTAAGGAAAATATTTAATTATAAGAACAATATTAGAATAGCACAAGTAGGAATAATATTTATTATTAATATATAACTGGGTTGAATGCATTTTATATGGAATAAATAGCACTAAAAAATGAGACTACCTTCAGTAAATAAAACTACCTTTCGTTTAAGTCTGAATTATTTTAAATCAAATATGGAAATCAATCGTGTATTTAATGTAATCAATGATATAGAAATTAAATTAAGTAGTTTATTATTTCTTTTAACTACAATTTTTTTCTCAAGTATGACTGATTTTCAAAAATAAAATTATTTTTATTATTTTTGATAAAATGAAATCTCAACAAAATATCAAAGAATTTCAAACTAATTATATTTTCTTTAAGAAAGACAAAGTTGTTTAAAATGAAATGGTTTTATGAATAAATTTCTTTTAAAATTAAGATAGGAAATTTGTAGTCATTGTTTATCCCTCATATTAATATTACAAGCGTAATATAAATGGAAAAAGAAAATGCTACGGTAAATGCCCTGTAATCTATAACCCATCTTACACTCAATGAGAAAAAAAATTCATTGACCTGGAATTTTTACCTGGAAAAATCATGGAAATTTGAAACCGGATTTGAGCAACCACCCTGAAAAATCAGTAGACTAAATTCCATCAATATCTCTCTCCCGATTGGTTTTTTTATTTTATTTATTTATTTCCTTAAAAATGGGAGAGATAGTTTTGTTAAAAATAAATTAAAGAAAACGTTATTTTTTTATCTATCACTCTGCAAAGAAAGAATAAGATTAAGTGAACTTCATTTGCTTGTGAAAACAAAATTTGTACTTTTGTTGAATATAATTCTGATTTAGTTTTTCCTTTTCCCCCACCTTTTAAAATGCTAGCAAAAGTTAACTTACTATTATTATTATTTATTTAAAGAAAAGCAAAATTTATTGAGCTAGTATAAAAGATAATGGTGAAATAAAAAATAAATGGTTTTAGGAAAAAGTCAGTGATTTAACTTGGTAATTAGTGAAAAAAAATATACAAGTTGGTTATTTTTGTTTTGTTTGCCGTAAAGAAAAGTATTGTTTATTATTTACAAAAAATAAGCAAATTATTGATTTAATATAGGGCCATTATCGTGGACATCTTGGTGTCAGATAGCTATAAATTTCTGTATCAATTAGTCAAGAAATAAGTTCGGTTTTAAAAAAAGTTTAGAGTGGCATCCATAATCTCGCCTCTTTGCTGTTGGATTGTTTATGTTTATGACGAACTTATTATTTTTTTTCCTTTGTTCAATACAAGTAAGTAATGTACTCAGTACTTTAAACACAGTGCGTAGCGTTTTTTAAAGGTGCTTATTTTCGATTTTCCTTTTTTTAAAAGCCCTTAAAGGTGCTTTTTTCATTGGGTGTTTAGAAAAAGTGCTTAATTTTTCCTTTGTGAAAATGAGATTTTCTTCTCTGCCATGTCGATTTTCGCCTCGTATTATGCAAAAGCGTGCTTTTCACATTGTTCTACTCAACGTTTTCACAATTCATTTAACCACCATCTATTTCAACGTACTGTCGGTCCATACCGTATGAAGGAGCTAATCATTTTACAGGTTTGATGAAATTCTTGCGAGTCCGCATGTGTGTATAGTGAGCTGGGTTCTGTTATAAAGAAACAATAATTTTCAATGAAGTTTTGTTTAGATAGGGTGCGGATATAGAGTAGAAACTAGTTACTAGACCAGTGATATCAAAGTTCACCGTGACTTCCGTTTGATCAATTGATTGATATTTATGCTGCGTGTACAAGCAGGTTGTTTTGTCGGCCGTCAGGATCGAACTCACTACTTCTAGCTCCCAAACCAGCTCTGTGAGTGACGTCTTAACCGACTGCGTCACCAGAGTGCTCCCATTGCTTGATTCAGGAGTTCCCTTGTCTTGTGGGTTAGATCTGAAATTACAAGGCTACGGAGGTGAGCCGTGGTGGCTCAGGGGATAGAGCGTTCGCCTTCCAATTAGGTGATCCGGGCTCGAATCCCAGCGACGGCTGATCGATATAAATNTTGTTTGGAAGGAGGCGGGGTTTGACGTCATAAAATACGTCATCACTGTCCCTGTCAATTGCTTGATTCAGGAGCTCCCTTGTCTTGTGGGTTAGATCTGAAATTACAAGGCTACGGAGGTGAGCCGTGGTGGCTCAGGGGATAGAGCGTTCGCCTTCCAATTAGGTGATCCGGGCTCGAATCCCAGCGACGGCTGATCGATATAAATTCCGCATCCGGCTTGCACCGACCACAGTGATAAACGGATCATGGGTTAGAGTCCCCTTTCCATCAGGCTAATCGTGGGAGGTTTTCGTAGTTTTGCGGGTTAGTTCCATCGAAAAGTCTTCCGCGAAGGCAAGTTTCACCCAATACTTGATCCAGGAGTTCCCTTGTCTTCTGGATTGGGTTTAAAATTACAAGGCTATGGAGTTGAACATCAGTAGTCGTAAACCCGAAATTGTGTCGGCATTATCAATAAGATAAAATAACTTGAAATAAATCAATAGCTTTTTTCTTTTGAATTTTTTTTTCATCCCCATATTGTTCGTTAGACAAATTTTCACGAGTTTGAAAAAATTACATTAATAAACAGTAGTGTAATGCATTTTGGTCAACATTTCTAGAATATTTGAATTATTCCATTTTGCATAGTTTCACGCGGTCAACAATCGATAGCCATTTTCTTTTCTTTTTTTATTAATAAAATTTTCTTCGTTTTTGAGTAAAATGTTGACTTTTTAGGGGNTTTTTTTATTAATAAAATGTTCTTCGTTTTTGAGTAAAGTGTTGACTTTTTAGGGGGGGGGGGAATAACGAATGCAAAGTAATCAAAGGGATTATAATGCGAACAGGGAAAGGAGCCTCCTCGTTTAAAAAAAGATTAGGTTTAAAAAAAAAAGCTAGTTTGATGCTTTTTTACTAATTTCTGAGATCTTTCAGAAAGCAGGGGGCAAGCAAATTAGATTCAGGCATTATTAGGACCTAGCAAACCGTTTTACAAAAACTAGAAAGAAAAGCTTAAGGTAAGCTACAACATTTTTCCCGCTATGAAGAAGCATGAATATTAAAAATATTTTCCCCTAATTAATTCTCATAAGAGAGAAGAAACCACGTGTTTTTTGGGGGTGCACAACGCACAGCATACTCCTAACTGTTGGATGTTCGCCAAAGAGATTCTTTTAAAAATAGAAGCACTTCTTCTTCAGAGAGCATTTCTTAGTATTCACTTAACTGTTATGATACTCAAAATTTTGTGAATTTCGATATTTTCCCCAACACTTCGTTTAAAAACAAGGTATGTTTTTATCATTTAAGTAAAAACAACTCAGATTTTTTTTTTAATTCTGTTTTACATACAAAAAGAATATTTCTTTTTTTTCTTCTTTTTTGCAAATGAATGGGTGTTTTGAGTTAGTGTTTATATACAATTTCACGGAAAACAAAATTATTCCGCAAATAGCAATTTAAAATAGCAAAACAGTGCTGAACCTTTTTGAATAAGGGCCGCTAAAAAAGAAGAAATTTAGTTTATAGATTCAATATTTATATAAATTTATTTAAACTTTAATTCTTTCTTAGCTTCATAAGATCAAAAAGACAGAGATTAATATTTAATGAATTAAGAGAACGTGAGGTTTTGTTTCTTTAATATAGTTTAATTATAACTGGTTAAGTTTTTTTTAGAAAATATAATTTTCATATATAATACGCATAAGGTACAGTCCCTAGCCAAATTATTAGACGTTCTATAAGATTATGTGTAAAAATCTTAATAATCAGGTGATACTATACAGCCATATTGTTTTTGCGCGACTGAAACCGGTTTGCACTTGTTTACGATCGTGTATCAATTGGAAAAATTAGACGATATATAATATAAATTCGGCGATTGGATAAATTAGACGATATATTAAATAAATGTAGAATATTTATCAGGTATTATATTAGTATATTATAATAATTAGACCAAATTATTGGACGCACTATAGTTTTTTTAATAATTACATGTTTGGCACGAGTTTATATACAATACTTTTATAATTAAACATACATGTAATGGGTTTTTATTCAGAAGATTTTTTATACACTTCCTATTTGTATTTATTTTTGGCGTATTGTATNAGACCAAATTATTAGACGAACTGTAGTTCTTTAATAATAGCATGTTGGCATGAGTTTATATGCAATACTTTTATAATTAAACATACATGTAATGGGTTTTTATTCAGAAGATTTTTTATACACTTCCTATTTGTATTTATTTTTGGCGTATTGTATTACAATGTTAACCAATTGATACACGAATGTAAACAATTACAAACCGGTTTCAGTCGCGTAAAAACAATATGGCTGTATAGTATCACCTGATAATTAAGATTTTACATAGAATCTTATAGTGCGTCTAATAATTTGGCGAGAGACTGTATAGAAATATCTTCCATTTTTTAAAATAAACCCTTGACATACATTTGCTTTGAACAAGTTTTTATTTAAGGGGGAACTAAACAGTCGAAACTGGTAAAAAAGAAGGGGTTTTATTTAATGAATTTTTTAACGATCAGAATAGACTAATTTTTTTTATTTCATTGTAAATATTTTAATCTCTTTTATTTCGTAACAAATAAAAATTACACGTTTATAACTTAATTTTAAAATTATCCGTAACTAGTAGAAAATAAATCATCCTACTTTGGTAACGTTTTTTATTTTTTCATTTTTTATTATGTAACTGCATGGATGTAGCTTTGTAGAATTTTTTTTAAAGAAAAAAAAATTAAAAAACATGACATAGAAATAACTTATGTTTTCATGGATTACGCAAAACCAGTCAAGCCAATTTTAAAAAAAATCCTTACGAGAAACAGAACTTTTTTTGTTGTAAATATTGTGTCCAACTAGGAAGTAAATCGATTGAAAATTTTACTAGTTAGAGATTCAGCAAGTGAGTGAAACACAGTTTCGAGTAAATAACGTTGAAAATTTTGCAATTAACTACAAAGTATCAATACCAGGTCTATGCACAGTGGGCCAGCATCCAAGATTTCGTGGCCAAAATTAGTATTTCGATAAAATTTGTCTCAAAATTTGGGGTTTTTTATTTAGGGTTTTTATGTGCAGGTAAATTGAATTCATAATTAAAATTTTGAAATACACTACAAATACCAATAAAAAAAATGGCGGCTGAAATATGGCAAGCAAAAAGAAAAAAGATATATATATATATATAGTACGTTTAAATATAGCAGTGAAAATATAATAATTTTCGTAATTTTATGTTAAAAGTGAAAAGCAAATTATATTTCCGAAGTAATATTACAAAATAACGCGAAAACATGAGGGAAAAAAAACATAATTTTTGTTTTTCGGTATATTTAGCCCACCTTTGCAATACGGGAAAAAAGGGGCAGGTTTTTTCGAAAGAAGACAACAAAAGAAAGTTTAGCTAATTACCTCGTGGAACTTTTTGGAGATAAGTTTCGAAAGTGATTCAAACATTGTAAAATGTCAAATTATAAGATATGAACTATAAGTTTATCAAGAGTATTAACTAATCCAACAAATGGAAAAATTGTACTATAATTTCAGATTAATTACTCTGATAAAAATGTAACAGAAAGGTGAAATTCCTATATATATATTTCTGAAACATAAATTTAAAAGTTACATTTTAAAAAAAAAACTAACATATTTTTCACTACATTGTACTCTTGTCGGTCCAAAAAGTAAATTGTAATGTTTGGAATGATTATGAATACTTAATTTCGTCGATATTAAAACTGCCTACACATATTTTCGTTGAAAATTTAATTTTGACTTTTGGCCAAAGATCATAGTCTTCTGGCCCACAGTGCCATGTGATGCTTCTTCTCCATTTTCAACAGTCGCAAGTGCTCTCTTTTTCTTGTCGATCTACCCTCATGTGATGTTTCGTATGTTTTTAGAGCAGCAGCTGAGGTCATCTTCATTTTGAGCATATTCTTTGGTTGCTGGGCCTACATTAATTTCGAACTGTTTCCAATAACCCTGGAGGGTCGTGGTGGCTCAGGGAATAGAGCGTTCACCTTCCAATGAAGTGAACAGGGTTTGAATCCCAGCGATGGCTGCTCGATACGAATTCCGCTGACAGGGTCGACGTAAAATATCCTCAGTGGTAGACAGATCATGGGTTAGAGTCCCCTTGCAGTTAGGCTAACCGTGGGGGGGCTGTGGTTTTTCCTCTCCATGTAACTCAAAAGCGGGTTTTTTTTCACCAAAAAGTCTTCTACGAAGGCAAATCTCTCCCACTTATCGATCCAGGAGTTCCCTTGTTTACTGACTTAGGTTCAAAATTACAAGGTTACGGAGTTGAACATTAGTAGTCGTGAACCCAAAATTGGGTCGGCTGTTCAAAGAACGGTTATAAAATAAAATAACCCTTTGCAACCTTCATTAAAAATTATTACATAAGTTGCCAGTTCAAGTATTTATAGTGAAAGTAATATTAATTCTTTTTTTCACAGAATGTAAGCAAATTAATTTAATAAAATAGTTAGAACAATAGTATTTAGCTAAAATGTTTTGAAAGGAGCGAGCAAATCCATTAATCAACTGAGATCACTTGTTCGTACATGTCGCGACGGGTGTCGTGGTCAACTCGTCGCGTAAACAATACGTCGTGGGCATAATTCATCGTGGAGACAGTTCTTCGTGGACAAAATTCGTCGCTAACACAATTCGTCGAGCGCACAATTTGTCGCGAGCACAACTCGTCGTAGCAACAATTCGTCTCGATGACGATTACTTGCAATTTCGTCCACAACTTCTTGCGGCTTCGATCTATTTGCAAAGACAGAGCTTCCAGTTCGGTATATTTTATATTATAACCGTCGTTGAACAGCCGATCCAATTTTATGCGTTTACGACTACTAATGTTCAACTCCGTAGCCTTGTAATTTTGAGCACAATCCAGAAGACTAGAAAAATCCTGGATCAAGTATTAGGAGAAAGTTTGCCTTTGTGGAGGACTTTTTGATGGAGTTAACCCGCATTTGCGATACATGGAGAGGAAGACCACTAGAACCTTCCACTGTTAGCCTGTTGGCAAGGGGACTCTAACCCATGATCCGTCAACCACTGAGGATAATTCACGTCAGCACTGTGATCGGTGCAAGCCGGATGCGGAATTCGTATCGACTGGGATTCGAACCCGTACGCATCACTGGAGGGCGAACGCTATACGATATTTTGGTGGGGGCCGGGATAGCCTGGTCAGTTGGGCGCTGGGCCCATATCCAAGAGGTCGTGGGTTCGATCCTCGCCGGCCGAAGACTCCCCGTGTAGTAAATGGTGACTGATGCGCATTAAATCTGTCGAGTCTCAAAGTCCTCCATGTTCCCACAACAAATCAATACCTCTGTAGGGTACTGATCCAGGAGTTTCCTTATCTTCTGGATTGGTTCAAAATTACAAGGCTCCGGAGTTGAACGTAAGTAGTCGTAAACCCATGAAATTGGGTCGGCTGTTCAACGACCCAACGTGGTGACTGGAAAGGTTTCGATTTCTCTGACAAAAAGAGTGTCTTGAAAGATTTCGTATCTGAGAAACTTCATATAGCACAATTGGTTTACATCATGTAAAAGTGAATTTACGGTATCGGAACAATCATTTGGTTACGTAATTACACTCACTTCCGTTATTCGATCAGCTATGCTGTTTGCTTTTTGAAAGTCTGGACTGATGCTAGAATTGATTGGATATTCGGCGGCAGCGTCTGTTGTTTAAACAATTCTAATAATCGGTGGCCGGAAAAAAACTACATTATTTTTGTAGTTTGCTACAACTGCTTATTTACAAATGTAGTTAACTAGAACCACGATGGCTGAGGGGATAGAGCGAAATGAGCCTTCCAATGAGGTGAACCGGGTTCGAATCGCTGGGATTCCGCATCCGGCTTGCACCGACCACAGTGCTGACGCGAAATATCCTCGGTGGTAGACGGATCATGGGTTAGAGTCCCTTTGCAGACAGGTTAACCGTGGGAGGTTCTCGTGGTCTTCCTCTCCATGTAACGCAAATGCGGGTTAGTTTCATCAAAAAGTCCTCCACAAAGGCAAATTTCTCCCAATACGTGATGCAGGAGTTTCCTTGTCTTCTGGATTAAGTTCAAAATTACAAGGCTACGGAGTCGAACATTAGTAGTCGTAAACCCAAAATCGGGTCGGCTGTTCAACGACGATGATAAGATAAAATAAAATGTAGTTAACTACGCCCACTTTTTTTTAAATGTAGCAGTGGCGTGCCAGCCGGGGGGGCAGAGGGGGCAGTCGCCCCCTCTGAAATTTTAGTGAGGGGGCAAACAATATATTTCGCCCCTCCTGAAATTTAAACATTCGAGAAAATAAAATCAAGTAAAATTCCGAGTAAAAAATAGTCAAAAAGTAAAATTTTAGAAAAAAGTAACTTTTTAGTTGAACTTTGTAGCTATTTTCCAAGTAAAAAACCTAATTTTCCTCTGAAATTAAAGTAAGAGGTTATAATAAATTTAGGTAAAATTGGTAATTTTAGGAAAAAACAATTTTTTTTTTCAATTTTGAAGCTATTTTTCAAAAAGAAAACCTTATTGTCTTCTGAAATTTAATAAAAGGGCCTATATTGCGTTTCGCCCCTTCTGAAATTTAGACATTCACAAAAATAAAGTCAATTTAAATTAGTAAACTTAAAGGAAGAAAAAAACTTTTTTCAACTTTGAAGCGATTTTCTAAGAAAAAAACTTTATTTAATTCTGAAATTTAAATGAAGGGTGAGTAATGTACTTCGCCCCTCTTG